ACGTCCCTGTGGCGGGTGTCAAGTCTATCGCGAGGACGGCTAATACGGGTGGCTTCGTACAACGCGTCTGTGTCGACCTCTGCGGCGTCGTGTTCGCCAGTGCTGTCAGAGCGGCCTCTAGCGGCCGCGCGAGATCAGAACTCGGCGCTCATCGGTGGGGGGGGTCCATCAATGTCATCGCTCAAAATCGATTCTAACGATCACAATTGCACGCACCGGACCGGCGCGCGTTCGAATCAATTATTTACTCTACGGTAATTGTATGCAAATTATCCTTGTGAAAGGCGAATGGAGAGAGGCAACGGACTTGACATATAAGCCCCACGGAGACGGGAGGCTGAGAGTCATGCAGACAGGATGTCCACTATCTGTACATGCAACAAAGATCTGTAACCACCCATCGTCCATCCACCTATATGCCGATCTGCCAATGTCTAGCTATCCACCAATCTATCAACCAACGTACAGTGAGGGAAAAAAGTATTTGATCCCCTGCTGATTTTATACGTTTGCCCACTGACAAAGAAATGATCAGTCTATAATTTTAATGGAATGTTTATTTGAACAGTGAGAGACAGAATAACAAAAAATCCAGAAAAACGCATGTCAAAAATGTTATAAATTGATTTGCATTTTAATGAGGGAAATAAGTATTTGACCCCCTCTCAATCAGAAAGATTTCTGGCTCCCAGGTGTCTTTTATACAGGTAACAAGCTGAGATTAGGAGCACTCCCTTTAAGAATGTGCTCCTAATCTCAGCTTGTTACCTGTATAAAAGACACCTGTCCACAGAAGCAATCAATCAATCAGATTCCAAACTCTCCACCATGGCCAAGACCAAAGAGCTCTCCAAGGATGTCAGGGACAAGATTGTAGACCTACACAAGGCTGGAATGGGCTACAAGACCATTGCCAAGCAGCTTGGTGAGAAGGTGACAACAGTTGGTGCGATTATTCACAAATGGAAGAAACACAAAAGAACTGTCAATCTCCCTCGGACTGGGGCTCCATGCAATATCTCACCTCGTGGAGTTGCAATGATCATGAGAACGGTGAGGAATCAGCCCAGAACTACACAGGAGGATCTTGTCAAAGATCTCGAGGCAGCTGGGACCATAGTCACCAAGAAAACAATTGGTAACACACTACGCCGTGAAGGACTGAAATCCTGCAGCGCCCGCAAGGTCCCCCTGCTCAAGAAAGCACATATTTATGCCCGTCTGAAGTTTGCAAATTAACATCTGAATGATTCAGAGGACAACTGGGTGAAAGTGTTGTGGTCAGATGAGACCAAAATGGAGCTCTTTGGCATCAACTCAACTCGCCGTGTTTGGAGGAGGAATGCTGCCTATGACCCCAAGAACACCATCCCCACCGTCAAACATGGAGGTGGAAACATTATGCTTTGGGGGGTGTTTTTCTGCTAAGGGGACAGGACAACTTCACCACATCAAAGGGACGATGGACGGGGCCATGTACCGTCAAATCTTGGGTGAGAACCTCCTTCCCTCAGCCAGGGCATTGAAAATGGGTCGTGGATGGGTATTCCAGCATGACAATGACCCAAAACACACGGCCAAGGTAACAAAGGAGTGGCTCAAGAAGAAGCACATTAAGGTCCTGGAGTGGCCTTGCCAGTCTCCAGACCTTGATCCCATAGAAAATCTGTGGAGGGAGCTGAAGGTTCGAGTTGCCAAACGTCAGCCTCGAAATCTTAATGACTTGGAGAAGATCTGCAAAGAGGAGTGGGACAAAATCCCTCCTGAGATGTGTGCAAACCTGGTGGCCAACTACAAGAAACGTCTGACTTCTGTGATTGCCAACAAGGGTTTTGCCACCAAGTACTAAGTCATGTTTTGCTGAAGGGTCAAATACTTATTTCCCTCATTAAAATGCAAATCAATTTATAACATTTTTGACATGCGTTTTTATGGATTTTGTTGTTGTTATTCTGTCTCTCACTGTTCAAATAAACCTATTAAAATTATAGACTGATCATTTCTTTGTCAGTGGGCAAACGTACAAAATCAGCAGGGGATCAAATACTTTTTTTCCTCACTGTATCTGTCCATCCACCCATCGCGTTATTCATCCCCCCCCCCCTCATCTATGTATCATTCTAGATAATGATCCATCACCCTCCCCCTCTATACAATGCACCCACCCGTATAAATCCATGCTCCCCTCTCTCTCTCTCTCTATGCATCTCTACCTACGCGTGTGTGGGGCTGGCCCCGCCCGCGTGACGACTGAGCTCGCTGTGCTCGTGATGCTCCACGCGCGTTCGTGCGACCCGCGACCTCCCCGAGAGCGGGGGTGGAGTGAGGGGTGGGGGGGGCAGACGGCGGCTGGCTTGAGTGAGTAGCGCGTCTCTTCTATATGGGCGGGATGAGATTCAGTTGGCGACCGTCATCAGCAGCAGCAGAGGTAACATCATTGGCAGCAGAATCATCGGTAGGATAACATCGGGCAATAGCATTAGGTACAGCAGCTGTAGAAGCAGCAGCATCATCATCAGCAGCTGCAGCACCATCGTCATAATCAGTAGCATCATCAGCGCAATCACCATAATCAACAGCATCGGCAACATCATATTATGAGCAGCATCAGAAGTCCTCAATATCACCAGCAGCCTCATAATAATCAAATCGGGCTGTATGGCAAAGCAATAGGCGACTGAAAGTCTGCCTTCGAAATACTTATGATGAGGTGGCGACGTGGGGACTGGATTGTGAGTAATTTAGCGAGTTCTGTAGGACGACGCGTCGATGGTAGCTACGGCTGTGCGCCACGCGAAAGGGCATCCTATTTCGCGTGAGATATGAGCCCGCAGCCGTGAGTGTCTGTCGCATTGACAAATAATGCACGCGGCTGGGGACTGCTAATGAACGAGCATCGCTCTTCGCCAACACCAGCTGCGGGCAATAACCGAATGAGCATCGTGAACGGTGGAGTCAGTGATCCTGGAGGATCGTACAGGGGTGAGATGGTTACGTGGCTGGATAGACTAATGGTTAAATAGACAGGATGGATGGATATGCATATGGGGGGATGAATAAACAGATGTATATGGACAGGCGAGTATGGATACGTGTGAATGGATATATACGCGAATAGAAATGGATAGACAGATGGGTGGAAATAAAGCGATATAGGAGTGGTATTCACAGGAACATGGGTGGTGTGTGTGAACTCAGAGATGAATGGAGACAGTTATGGGGGGACAGAACGTGGGTGGCGCTAGAGACGGGTCGACGGATGGACAAAGATGGATTGACAGATGTTCGCCCATTCAAATGCGCCCGACCGTATCAGTTCTCGGAAGTCAAACAGGCTTGAGCCTGGCGAGTACTTGAATGGGCGTCCACCACCGGAGCTTGCCAGGTGCCGTAGGCGTGTGGCCAGGTGGTGGTCGTGCTCAGCGTCTCTCCTCGGACAACGGAGATTGGATTTCACCAGCTTCCTTCCATGAGAAGCCAAACTCTCATTCATGTAGGGCCAAGCATCCCCAACCCTCTTGAACATCTCGATACGAGAAGCGTTTCGTCGTTTGAGCCAGAGGTGTGCCGGGGTGGGGCGGTGGCGCAGTGGTTAGGGCCCTACGCAATGAACCTGGGTCACTCGTATTCGATTTCCAGCCACGGCTAACATCGGGGGCAATCGATAACAGCACCGCTCCTTTATATCGGCGTCTGTAGTAAACCTATTGTGTTCACCAGCATGTGTGCAGTCGACGCAGTGTGTTTAGGAAACCTGCCTACAAAGTGCACAACTCCGTGGGTGTGTGCAGTGCGTCTGTGTACACAAGTATATTGGGGCGTTTCCGTAAACCTCGCTCAAAGCCCTCCTGTGGCGTCGCTCCGTTACCAGCCGCTGTGTCCTGTCCGATACCGACAGAGAATGCATACATCTGTACCAGAGCCCGTCTCTCTCTCTCGTCTATTTCAAGTCAACAGCCATGATTAATCCACTGCTAAATGAAGGCTCTCCTACGTCGTCGCCATCTCTCACGATGCTGGCAATGCCGTCATCCATCTGTCTGGCACCAAACCGATTCCACCGCCGTCTCCGTGACGGCCACCGTCTCGGACGCAATCCGTCGTGCGGCTGCCAGTCCATCCACCGTCACCCCCCGTGGCAATGTGTCCGACACAAGCCCATTTACTTTTCTTTAACGGTCAATGTGTTTCATTTGTTTGTTCTATGATCCATGCGTCTGTTTTTTTTGTTTTATCCCCGAAGTAATTCCCAGCACGCGTCTCGCCACGCTTCTCCGTGTTCTATTCGGTGCTCGTTCCGTTTTGTCAGCGGCCGTATTGCTGAAACGTGTTGGGACATTTTTGCACAGATTAAGCGTTTTCCATTCTGCCACGTGGGAATATTGCCTTTTCATTACCAGACTGAAGAGCAAAAATGTTAATGGTGTTAAAACTTACAACCGTTTAAAAATTAAAATCTAATAATAGACCGAGAGACCGAATAAATTAGAATTTGCTGCGCAGGATTTGAGCGGAACGACGGGACGTAATAATGCCTCGGCAGCAGACCAAGGCTTTCCCACCTGATGACGGACGCTTGTGTTGCGCCCGAATCGTAGTGATTGATTTTAATTTTATACCTACGTGACTTTACCGAAAGAATCAAAGAGTATGTAATAATACCCATTTGATGTACGCGGGCTTCTCCGGACCCGGTAGATTATGAGGGGGACACGTGCCATTCATGCTGCGAGCGGGAAGTCAACACGCCTTCGCTTGCCCGACTCAAAAAAAAAAGAAATCACTAAAACTATTTTCCCCAAAATTGTTGCAGCATAAATCATTCGACCCTACAGTTTTTGGTACAAAACTTCAAACGTTTTGGTGACGGTGCGGTTTTGTCAAGTAATTGTTTTCGTAACGATTCAAATTGTTCAGTGTCATTTTCGCCAGACCGTTGGGTGTGCGGCGAGGCCTGCAGCCCCGGCCGCTGGGTCAAAAAACAACCTTAGTCCCCCGAGTGAAGTTTAAAATCCGTTTATTATAATTATTACTATTATTGTTGTTTTTAGCATCATCAACTTTATTATAATTAAGATTACAGCAGACACCAGGAATTATCCTGAACTACTACAACATACTCGTCTGTATTAAGTTTTGACGTTACCATACGCATAATATTGTGATCGTTTTGTTACACACGTAATCAAGCATAACTTAAGACATCCGTAAAAAAAAAAACCCCAACACAACTCTAAATAAATAGTGAAGCCAATATCGTACAAAAAATACTTCTTCACAAGATGCTTAGCGACGACGATGATAGAGATGACGATGTTGACGATGAGACACCAATGTTGCTGGCTGCACTCCCAAAGCTGAAGCATGCAGAGTGGGCACAGGGAGCCCCACGAGCCCCAGACCAGTTGTTTCACTCGTCAGGACCACGCGAGGTCACATCACTTCAGCGCTTCCAATATCTCTGTGGTGGCCAATAATGGGGAATTACGTGATAACCACTTCAAACGAGCGGGATTATCAAGTAATCCCACTCGTATTAGCCTTGCCAACAACACAAATCGGTGTGGACCAAAGTTCTGCTACCTTTTAGGTGGTACCAGTTTTTGCTCTGGCCCAGGGACTAAGGTCTCGGTGACTTTGGTGGACCGCAAGGCGTTGCACAGACACCAACTGATGTCTTTTTCTGGTTTTCCCAAAGCTTTGCTCATTATCTTGAAAGGTAACTTTGCCGGTTAAAGGCCGTCTCAGTCGACACGTCCGGCAATGGACTGCGGTGGAATCTCACCTCCTCTGAACCCCCCTCGTCCCCATCGGTTGTGTTTTTTTCTTTAAACGTAAACGGCACTTGAAACAACTCCGCGGTTCTTACTGGAATCTGCAGATTGGTTTCGCGCACGCTGATGGGAGGGACCGGATCCAGCAATTGCCAAGAGGAAAATAAGAGCAATTTGGAAAATGTTCCATTAAGTAACAGCAGAACCCATCTTCACACCGACACACAAACCGGGGGGGCGGGGCCCTCCTGTCGGCTGTCAACAGTGGGGGCGAGGTTACAAGGCGGTAGCCTAAAAAACAACGAATCAATGCTTACAAGGAGCAATGAAATAGATGGCATAACTATGAAGGCAGTGCCATACCGTGCTCGTTCCCAAAGCCGCGGCGATGGCGAGTAGTGCTAAGCTGCGTGGAACTCGGAATCTCGTGAATCGACAAACGGAGGTTGGGGGCGGGGGGGTGCCACAGCGGAGGTGCCCAGAAATCTGAAGCCGCTGACTGTGGCCTGATACCCCGGGGCACCACCGACCAGCGCCACACCATTCCCCAAAAGACCCGTTTTCCCCCTTCCCCTGCCCCGTGTGAAGCTAACGATGCGTTTTAATGTATACTCCAAGTGATTCGTTTACGGTTAGTATAAAAAATAAAAATAAAACACAATTTGCAGCCGCGTGAATTAAAGAAACTTTAAAACCGAATGTGACAGTCAAGTAATGTGACAATGGAAAAATGTCAATCTTGGTTTTAAAAACAAGTGCCTTTGAATCTCATGAATGAGCCCTACAACCCATGCCCTACCAGTGAAACGCCAACTTATGTCTGAAGAGAACCTCCACAAATGTATGCAGACACGTGCGCACACACACACACACACACGGGTAAATGCACAAACGCACGTGGGCTAACGCACGCACACACACACTGCCACACACGCACGGGTCATCGTCTGTGCCAAAGGTAAAGCGTGAATAGGGACACCCCCCCCCGCCCCCCCCCCACCCACACCTCTCACGCACGCTCACGTACACATGCCGGCATGCTCCATTATTAATAAAGCGACGCTCTGGATAGCAGACGTGACAACCGCACGATAAAACACTCACGTTAATGCTGCATTCTCCGCAAATTCCACATCAAACGGAAATAATAACCACAAACGTCGACGGGATTTGATTGGCGGCGGCCGTGACAACGGGAGGAGACGGCCCCCTAGCTCCGGTTCGCCAAAACAGCCCCGCGCACGGCACACGACCGAAGCGACGTCCGGCTAAAAACTACCCGAGGCTCCACGCGCACGGCAAGCAAGGCTGCCAACAAAGCTCTACGGAAACGCAAAGTGAGGACGGTCGGTCCTTCCGGGAGGCCTGACCGGAGGCCGGGGGCAAAGACACACTGGAGAGAGAGAGAGAGAGAGCGGCTCACGCGCGCGCGAGGTGGGGGGGGGGGTGGATTACACTCACGATTGGCCCTTGGAGAGAGGGGGAGAAAGAGAGAAAAGGAGATAGAGAAGAGACGCAGAGAGAGAGAGGTAAGAGAAAAAGAGAGGGACAAGGGGCCGAGCATTCAGAGGCTCTGGCAGCACTGGAAGCGGTTGGATTTGCCATGCTCCGAGGTGGGGGGCACGGTGATGTCCACCACGTTGTTGCTCGGGGAATCGTCATGGCCGGCCCGGTCCGAGATCTGCTTCTGAGAGACAATCCGGTAGATCTCTGTCACAGCAGAAGCAGCAGCAGCAGGAGAAACAACAGCACAAGCAGGTTAAAGTGCAACAGGGGCGAGTCTACATTTGTAAGTGTGACATTAGTCTTATTAACATAGTAATCCCACCCAAAATTAACTTGGATCTATGTTCATTCGTTAGAAGACCAGAACCTATCAACTATCTGGGCATAATGTTATCATCAATATTCTGTATGTTGGGGACGACACCTGCTCTGACATTCTAATGCATGTGGGGGGGGGGGGCTTTGCATCGCACAATGCTTATGGACGTTGCACGGTTCATGACTTATGTCCTCATCCAGCAGTGGAGTGGCATATTGGTTGCATGCGTAAACATTTTAAAATTATTCCACTTCGCTTGCTGGAAACTTCAAATACGTTTTTATATAACTGAGAAAAGCTTCCTCCCCCATACTGCATGCCTCGTTCACTTTGTAAATGGTTGCATTTGTCCTCAACAAAATATTCTCGATGAATTCTCTCTTTTTTCATTATATACTGCCAACAAGGCCACAGCCTCCTTATTAAGGAAATCACTACCAACACCATCACAAAAGCAATAATGGCCAAAAATTTAGAAAGCAGCTTTCTCAAAAAATCTAATCAACCACCCTTTCGCAAGCCAAGTACCTGCTTGGAAGTGAATTAAGCACACACGCAAGCCGCAGAACATTCTCCCACTCGATTAAACCCGCACTGCCTTCGACCGCCGACAACAACCTTCTGCAGACCAATGAGCCCGCCTTCTAGTAATGTACAGATATCTTAAACAACACCAAACGATTGCGTCTTCAATCGCCGTGTATGCAACGTCAAATACCCCAACACGTGCAACTTGCTTCCTCGGTCTCACGCGTCTCTACAACACACTACCTTCTCCCCCCCCCCCTTCACCAAACCACCAATGCATCCTATTTCAAATCTTTTTTTCATCACCGAAAGACTCGTGGAGCTCACACGACTGGAAGGACCAGAACAAGCCAAATGGAGGCACACGGCTAAAAAATATGGACAATAAAGCAGCCTTCAAACATCGGGGCCATTGCCAAACACTATGAAGTGCTTTCATACAAACACAACATCCTCTCTTATGCCCCCCACTTTTGATCTCTGCACACATTAGTGACAGATCAGTTGGCCTTCACATACTCTCTGATTTCCTAAGTACCTAAGGTTTGCCTACTACACCCCACGTGGCTTGATGAATTACCCTGCTTTTGCATCACCTTGCCCACACATGGATGTTTACTTGCCCCTCATATCCAACAGCATCGCACCACCTCCACCCCCTACCACTCCATCCTCCCCCTTTTAAGGTAGGAAATGCTAACAAACTCAAACATTGCTGTAATAGTGGGCTACTGTTAAAATAAATGAGGTTTTGCAAGTGTCTACATATTAGTTATTTTATCATTCCACTTTACCCAGGAAAGCCTCAGCGAGTCTCAAGACTTCTCCAGAAGGGTCCTGCCAAGTGTTTCACAGTCGGGTGCGATGTGGTTGCTGCTCTGTAATCCCCAATGAGTAATTTGTAAGAAATTTTGGTAAACCATTTACATTGTGCGCGATTTATTTAGCTATGGGGGAAAAAAACCCCCAGAGAACCCAGAGGAAACCCATGCAGAACAGGGTGAGAATGTAAAAACGACACACAGAAAGACACCCGAGTGAGGACTCGAACCCAGCAACCTTCCTGCTGTGAGCCACAAGTTTGGCCACTGCCCTGCAAACCTGCCGTCACCCCTTGGAATGCAAAGATTCACCCCTATCCACGATTCGACAAACTATCACCATTTAAAAGTCAATCAGTAGTCCCCCTGAAAGTGCATGCATAATCTGAAGTGGTCAAAATCTCAAGGACCGATGGTGGCAAGAATCAATAGAATGCAATAATAATTTAAACCTGTAACGTGCCGCACAGCATCCACTCGCTCTCAAGGGAGAGAACGACTCAAGAGGCACGAGGAACCACAAACCAGCGGGGAAGGGAGCCAGGCACAGAGCCGGTGCCAACAACTGTCCAAGCTCTGTGGTTCTCTATATATTAAGATGTTTCCGGCCAATTAATGAGTGTTCATAATTAGGAGGAAATGAGACCACGCATAGGAAGCCTACGCATGCGATGGGGCAACATTATCCGATACGGATGGAACAGGGGAGTCCACATTTTCTGGACTGCCTTCTCCTGACAATCCAGGGTACGGCACTTCAATGCACATGGGAAGGGAGTTTCACAACATTTGTGCGATCCACCAACCCCTGCGCCCACAGAGGTGGATTACAGGCGTGCGTAGCCCACCACCGCCCAGTGTTTCACAATGTGTTGTGAAACTAAGAATCGATTATCATCCACGAATCGTCGGATGTCTATTAGTCATGTGTGCAAGAGATAAATGTTGAAGTAGCATCAACCACCAAATTGAAAAGCAACAGTCATTAGATGGGCTAAATTGAGTGGCACTAATTAGCAATCATTATTCTAGATGTTTAAGAAAACCAATTATTTAGGCAACTACAGCGGCTACTGCAAAGATATTTAAATTGAATTATTACATTTGTGATTATTAGCTGCTTAGTTAATTTCACTTTAGCTGTTTCACTTTGCAATTATTCATGTCATACTAACTGCAGCATACTGCACGTCTTGTATATTTATCACATGGTACTCTAATTATGACACTGTTCCTGCATGCACAATTTGTTCGTGCTAATATTTGTGTCTTGAAATTTTTTCAAGTATTTAACTGGCCAAATCGCACTTTCACAGAAACAGAATTTACTCAACGTCCCAATGCGGGACCAGTCCAGAAAAAAACACTTGTTAATGCTTTCCTAGTGTAAAGGGCATCATTATTATTATTAACGATGATCATTGATTCCTGTACCGCACGTTAGAACGGTAGATCGCGCCTCCTTTCTTCATTACCGATAGGTCTCGCTTGAACACAGAGACATCCATCGTCCCACCGGCCCCTCACCTGGGTCTGCAGGACTTACATTTCAATGTGTCTACAAGACGGCTTACATTGGAGTTTGATTAAGATTTAAGACCTCTCAGCCCCCCGCGTCCCCCCCCCCAGCACCCTCCTGGTCGCTCACCCGCAAGGATGTTCTGAAAGGCGGCCTCGACATTCGTGGAGTCCAAAGCGGACGTCTCGATGAACGAAAGATTGTTCTTCTCTGTCGGGGCACAAAAAACACGGAGCTGCAGCACAGATCGTACGGCAAACTGCCATCTTTTCCACAAGGTCAGGGAGAATGGCGCGGCGAGCATCTCGGCGTGCTCACGGCCTCACCGCCCACCAGGCAATCAATTCAGCCGTCCTCCTCCGCCGCGGTTTTTTCCCTGTGGGTCGTAAAAGTTTGCGACGTCGCTGGCAAGAGCAGCGTTCCATTGTGCGACAATGTGAAGATGCCACGGGCAACATGTTTAATGCACAAGAGTCACTTTGTACCGTCGTGGAGGATAATGGTTAACAAAAAAAATTATAAACAGACTGCGTTTTGTCTGCTTAAAGTTACTTTTGTAGTCCATCATCCTAGGTGCTTTCCAAACCAATATTTTCCGGCAGCATTTGTCAAAGCAGCATATATGGTGGACCGCTTTTGACCGAGTCACATCAGGCCTATTCAAACTGATGCTGGATGTTTAACACTCTACTGACGAGCTTGAAATAATTCAACCCAGTCCAGAGTTTCCCTCATTTACAATTTCTGCCAAACACATGCGCGTCTCGAAGCCGTGTAGGGTGGTGAAGTAAAAAGGACAAAATGCTCTTTTTTACGCAAGAGAGCGAAGGACTTTTTTTCTGTTCATTATTTGTTTAAAGCACGCCTCATTCCGCAAACAGCGGGTGATCGGCCGAAATTGCGGTCGTCTGCGCGTCCGCACGCCGCATTGCTATGCGCAGCGTTCCACGTTGTGTTAACGCATATAATCCAGGGCGCGCGTAGGGGGTGTGCGATTTGCGGCGCCGTGGGGGCAACGCAAGGCAAACGGCGCTCTCTCTCACTCTCTGCCCGCGAGTTGTTCTCGCGTCTCAACGATCGAAGCGTCACGCTGCCGAGAGTGGCGCGGCGCCGAGTTACGATTGGGTTATAAAACGCAACAACGCGTCGCTGGCGCGCGACATCGCAGGGGTTAGTGCGACCGCCGACGAGCCCATTTGCGCAGTCCCCGTCCCCCACCCTCTCTCTCTGTCGTTCTATTCGTTACGGAGTATTCGTCACGTCAACGATGAAGCGACTCTGCTCCCCGTGATTGCTACAATACTGGAGTTTGGGTAGGACAAATCGCTAGAAGTGACGATGGCAGGTGGACAAGAATGGTGACGGAATAGCAGCCCAAGGAGAGAAACGCACCCAAGCGCACGACCACCGTGGAGTAGAAGCGATGAAATCAGGTCACGTTCAGAAGGTGGACAGGTGCAGCAATGGGCTTTGATGAGTTGCGAAGGCATGGGGAGGCTTTATTCCAACAGTGGATAGACTGCCCTGCAACGATCTCCCAAGGTTTACACGCAGATAAAGATAAGGACAAACCCTGCGTCTCACAGGTCCAAATGTGCTCATACCTCGATGCATGCAGGGCAGCACTCATCTCCACTGCCGATCTGAAGCCAGTGGTGGAATTTCCACATTCCAATGGTAGGGTTCAGTCTATGTGCAATAGTTTGGGTTTATAAAACGTCTAAATGCGATCGCGTCTGAAGACGCTGCCCAAAGTGGTTGAAGTATCTGCCGCTTGACGGATTGAAGAGGTTAATAAGAGCACAGAGCAATGACGATGGTGATACCTTATAAAAATGTAAAATAAATAAAAAATATTAAACATATCAATCTTCACGCCTGAAAATGTTGTGGCTTGGCTCTCTAACACACCAGTGTGCCGTACTAGTGACAGATTGGCATGTTCTGTTTACGTGACGTGTTTAACGCGACACATTTATATATTTACGTGATCTAACCCAAAAAACCTCTAATATGGATGAAATATCATAACCCTATGCCAACATCTGTTTAACACTAGGTTCACATCCGTGTTTACGATGTTACAATGCAGAGCCGCGGTGTGCGCCATCTGGGTCTCTAGCGATTCACACGCCTCGCGCTTCCGTGAATCGTCACTGTTCATGGTCGCGATCTTTTCCCCTTAGACTGTGAATGTAGCATCCCTCGTGGCTGCTGCAGGTCACGTGACCCTGGTACAGACGATACAGGTGGTGGTGGCCATAAACTCCAGCAATCCGGCATCGTAGAGGCGAGGGTTGATGGATTCTCACACGAATGTTGCCAAACAGCACTGTGGGCGTTGAGGAGGTGCCGTACCCTGGCTCACCGGGAGAATACGGTACAGCAAAGTGTGGACTAAAATGATCTGTTCCTTCTGCACAGGGAGTCTTGTCTCTGCACAAGGTGGCTCTCTGGGTGCCCCGGTTTCCCCCCACATGTATAAACTCTCATTAATTGGCTGGTAACATCTTTATATAGAGAGAGCTGCAGAACTTGGGCAACTGTTTGCACAGGCTCACCACCTGCCTGCCTTTCCCCTTGTCTGTGGTTCCTCAGCAACTGTAAGATGCAATTTGCATAAGCAAAGTTATACACGTTTCAACATTATGATTACAAACACACACATTGAAAACATTGTATTCTCACGGCACAATTCGATGAGCGTTTCTTGACAGTAAGAATGTATTTTGATCAATCAATGTGTTGTTACATGCTATTAATCATTAAAATTGATTCTTGCGCTCATGACACGCGTATCATTTCCAGCACGAGAATCTATTTTATGGATTTTATGCAAATTATACGCACATGATATGCTCATTTTACACGAGGTCATGTAGAAGCCAGGAGAACAAGCGAAGCATTTGAGTATAACCGAGAAAAAAAACCTAAAAGCGATTTCAAACGAGACGGCAAACACAAACAAAAACTAAGAGATCAACTATTGAATGCAAATTTACGTGTACGTGGATGAGAGAATATACACATCCTGGTAATGACATCACTCAAACTGTAAAAACAGTAAGTGGGCTTGGGCAAAGCACATTGCTGGGAGGCTCGATGGCAGAAGGCCAAAGACAATGAAGGAGTGTCAGTCAAGGAACAGAATGTGCCCCAGAGGGTTATGGAGCAGTGAAAACAGCTGGTGTGCAGGTGGTAGGTGGATTATTACATCGCGGTATCGTGAAAGATGGCGGTTGCTTGGACAGGCCTTCATCCAGCAGTGGATTGACCAAGACTGATGAAAATGCTGATGATATGTAAATGTTACATGCGGCCCAGTGCACCTCTCACACACACCCGGGAAAGAGAGGCATCCAGTGGCGAGGGGTGGGGTCGGCGGTTAGGATCAGAGGGGGGGCGCGGGTTGCATCGGGTGGGGGCATTACGGGGGGGGGGGGGGGGGGGGGGGGGAGGGGTATTTGGAAGGCATTGGGGAGGCTGCCAGTTGCTCACCGGCGAAGGCGCGCGCTTCGTCGGTGGGCACGGCGCGCAGGTGCCGCAGGTCGCTCTTGTTGCCCACGAGCATGATGACGATGTTGCTGTCGGCGTGGTCGCGCAGCTCCTTGAGCCAGCGCTCCACGTTCTCGTACGTCAGGTGCTTGGCGATGTCGTACACCAGTAGCGCGCCCACCGCTCCACGATAGTAACTGCCGGCACAACGCAGCGGTGCGTCGGTGGGGCGGTGGGGCGAGGGGTTAACAACAACCGAGCAACGCAGCGGCACGTCCATCCCTCGCCGGCAGTAATTGGGGGCACATCGGCGGGGTGGAGGGAGGAAACGTGGCAACGAGGGCGATGTTCCAACAGAGAGACGAAACACGCGGTGATGCAGAAATACAGAACTAAAGCAAAAGCAACACATGGCAATGCAAGTGTTGCAAAACAAAGAGACTTGACAATACAACACAAAGCAATGCGACAACACTGCGACGATTGAATGCACCATGCAGCGACAATCGGCAATGCGATACGTGGCAACATAACGCACGGCTAACACAACGCACGTAAATGCAGCGACACAATAAGCACCAACCCAATATAAAGCTACGCGGCGACACAGGGCAATGAAACGCAAGAACTTGGCAACGCATCGCGGAAACCTGGCCACGTAGCATACATCGTGGCAACGCAACACGGCAACGCATCACGCTCCAACGAAGCGCACTGCAACGAAATACACAGCAAAGCAATGCACAGCAATGCAACCATGTAGCATTGAGGCAAAGCAATGCGGGAACAGCAATTCCACGCAGAACCCGGTCCTTGTTTTCTGCATCACTTCTCGTCTTGGCAGCAAAGTTATTTTTCACCTGCTTCCTGCAGCTTACTGCAGTGTAGCAAATGCACAATCATGGCAATTTGGATTTGATTGACAAATCAGTTTAGTTTTGTTTACAGTTGTGGTGGGCGATGGATCCATAGTGGTGTCGATCTATAATTGCTTTTGTTAATCTATAATTGTTTGCATCGGTGCGTTTGTAATGTTGCGACTATAGAGGTGGAAAAGCTGTTAAAACGTACAACCGGCATCGACATGTATCTACCATATGCATTGGAAATAACCGATTCTTCCACGCACATTTGGACACGTATTGTGAGCCTAGGAATGGATTTAATTCATGAATCATTCCAACCACACCATTTTTTTATTTGCACTGTTGTCAAAGCTGTTATGGGAATGAACACTAAGCTAGAACACAGCATGGGCAGCCGATTAGAGCTAACGAGCTCATTAATTCAATCCTGCCAACGAGGCTAAAGCACTCCGTTTCGTAATGTGAAGAAATCTGACCATGTGACCATGAGCTGCAAATTATGACTGAACAACTTAAATTAACCCCTTCCAGGATGGCCAACGCAGATTATAAACTCAGAATATCCCCTCTGATCGCTTGGCGGTGGGGGCTCATGCCCGCTGGTAGTTCTTTGTCAAAAAATGAAAATTCTTATGGCAGGGGCCAATCTTTCCATAATACAACCACAACATTGGGAAACTGAAAAACGTCAATTTGCGGCAGAAAAAATGCATCTGGCTTTTTAAAAACGTCTCAAAAGATGCAATTGCATTTTGCCGCTATATTTACATTGTTGTTGTAATGCAGCAGAGGTGTGCCTCCGAGTCTTCTGAATCCCGTGGCCGAAATAAGATGGACTGATGGATTAAAAGTCATACGTCCAAGATACATCCATCAAACCGCGCATTCAAGAATCGATAATTTCCCATTCGCATATGTTGTATCTAATTGGTTTACACGATTCCCGACGCAGCAATAAGCGACGTGAATTAACAATCCATTCGAAAATTTCAATCGTGACAATTCATTGAATCGCAACAGCGGCGAATCGTCACAAGCGTCACAAATCTGTCGTCGAGGCACCATCGGGATGCGAGCCCACTACAGACCGCCGCTTGTCGTTTCTTTTGGGGTGTGCGGAGAGGGCGACTTACGCGGAGGTGATGGCACGGTAGCGCTCCTGCCCGGCCGTGTCCCAGATCTGCGCCTTGATGGTCTTGCCGTCCACCTGGATACTGCGCGTGGCGAACTCCACGCCGATGGTGCTCTTGCTCTCCAGGTTGAACTCGTTGCGCGTGAAGCGCGACAGCAGATTACTCTTTCCCACGCCGGAGTCTCCAATCAGCACCACTGGGAAGAGGATGGCACACAAGGAAAGGTGAGGGCTTAGAGCAGAGCAGTGGAACCTACAGTCTGAGAGCCGGATTTAGCCCACGACTGTTTCATACAGCCTTCATCCACATAACCCGTAGTAGATCCAGTGAGGGCTTAGAGAAAACAGAATCCTCTCAATAGAACTGAGGGGGGTTAAAAGATAAACTTGACCACGTACCGAAACCAGTGAGGTCTTAAGTGAGATGCAGAACACTATAATGGCACGGGTAAGAATTTAGATGAACACTGGTGAGGGCTCAGAGGAACACACAACCATTAGTGAACTTTGGTGCGGATTTAGAGACACATCCAACACTTAATTCGGACCAGTGATGTTTGAGTGGTAGAGCCATATAAGGACACTGCTGATGGTTATGAAATAAACAGACCTCAGAGCCAGCGGCTATTCAAAATAGTACACAGCCAAAAACTGGGTGCAGTGAGGGCTTAAGGGAAGGTAAAAACATAAATGTCAAGAGTGAGGAAACAGACACACCCAAACCCCTAGAACAAGCGATTTCTTTAGACACTCGCACAATGCAGCACCAGAATTGTGAGCGCTTAAGAGACAAAACCATGAAGTAACATCCGTGAGGGTTTACCGAGCCACAGAACCCAAAATAAGGCTGAGTAAAGCATCAGAAAGACACAACAATATAATATAGAACCAAAAACTTGACTGCTTCTTTTAGCACATGGCACGTGAAATAGCAATTTGGCTTGGAAATGCACACAATGCATACAAACTTCCCTTTAAATAATACATCACATACAACCTGCTTTTTAAATACATAATGACTTACAATTGTGCAAGGTATTGGTATGGCTCCAGGTGTTACATAATTTGCTTTGGGTGTGCCTCCTGTACAGTACAGACATGCCCAAGACCGGTCATGATCACACTCTCCAATGGTGCTAGCCTTTGCCGGGAATCAAACCCAGGTCGCTGGGTTCATAACGCAGCGAGCTAACCACCGTGCCGCCCAGCACTCTTTGTGCCATTTCATTGTGTGGTAAAAGCTGTCCATCTTCCAATTACTCAGGGAGATGCCAACCCTGGGCTCTCTGCCCGTGGTTGGCGATGCCAGCCAATGCCATACGCCCTCGCGGGCCTGACAGATGTAATACGACATTGCATCCATCAGAGGTTGTGAAAGAATCGCAAAACACAATGCACTGAGCAACACGTCCAACCCCTCACTAACGGAGCACAAAAGTTAAACACTCAACGAATTCGTCAATAACACCATGTGGCCTTAAAAAGAAAATGGAAATAGGCAACGTTTCAGGCAATAGCCCTTCCTCACAAGAGGCCACAGATAGGAAACTATTTAACCATTTTTTATTTAACCAGGAAAGGCCCACTGAGCTATATAACTCTGTCAGAAGCGACCTGGCCACAAATGTTAGCTCAACGAAGTGGCTTATTACGTGGAAATTTACAGCAGTCAAAATATTCTAAACGCTTGTTTCTGAATCGGAAAAACCGGAGGACTCGGAGAAAAATCCACACACCTACAGGGAGAACACGCACACTCCAAATATACATGTGTCAGGGTCGGGATTGAACCCACGACCTCCTGTTTTTCAGTCGAGGTAGTTAACGTCTCGCAACCATGGCACCCATCTTGCCACCGATATAGAGACTCTACCTCCGTCTTCATGTGCTGTGAAGGGCTATTGCCCAATACGTTACATATTATACAAAGTACTTATTTGAAGGACACAGTGTTACTGACAAATGTGTAGGATTTTTAGTTGTTTTTGTTTGTGCAGTGTCACCAATACAGAACTTAATAATCACGTTTTGTTTTATGTTTGATTTACAATAAAATTCCAATTGCGCTATCGCCGACATGCTGCCACGAGACGAAGACATTTGAATTTAGAACAATCAGGACCTCCTCTTATCGGGTAATTCACCACCCGGAGGCACGGAATGACCCTGGAAGATGCCCAAAATGACTACATTTTAAGTGCAGAGGATGCCATCTGAATTCCAAGCAGGTATCACCACTGGACTCTCCAAGGTCTCTCGTTAAAAAGAGATGTCCATCTCAACTGTGCTCTCACGTGGATAAATACACATCAAAGTCAGCGTCTCCACAATTCATATAGCAATGGGGCAAGCTCTCATCTCTGTTGGCAGCGATGAGCAAGCGTTTGAAATTCCACATTCCCTTGGCAGGTACCAGGCTATGTATGACCACCACTATTAACTCGCTTGCTGCAGTGGTTACGGATTTTATCAACCTCTGAAACGGGATGAAATAGTGAGTGGATGCTCACTGCTTTTTAAAGTCAGTGATTAAATCAGCTTGTTTGCAGGTCCTTCATGAATAGTTGTATCGTGAGACCACAAAACATGGCAATTGTTTGGAAGGCCTTCGTCCAGCAGAGGGCAGATCATATACGATGATGTTCTATAGCAAAAAAATTCTATTTCAATAATACCCTTCATTTACTCAGGATATCCCGAGTCCCAACACTCTCTTTCAATAGGGTCCTCCTGCCATAGGATATTTGAGTATTTGGTACACGTGAGAACCCGTGCCTGTGAACAGCTGTTAGCTCTATTGCAGACTTGAGACCTTAGTCACACATAGATAGGAAAGAGATTTGCATGAAAACATTTATACAACTGATAGAAAGTGAAACCCAGAGTAGAGGCATTTCATTGACTTTATGAAAGTGGGCTTGGTCAGGGACACGTCGCGAGAAGAGATGGGTGGTGCTGACAGCCAACAGGGGGAATACGCCCAAAAGGACATTACACTGCAGAGATGGAGCAATGACATATGCTGGTGTGCAGACGCTAGATGGATTGTTGCTTTACATGACCGTGAGAGATAGCGACAGCTTGAGATAGCTTTCATCCAGCAGTGGACGGACTATGGGATGGTTAAAAGGTCAAAGTGTACTGTCCCTGCTTAAATCAGTGAGTGGTAAAAATGTATATTGCAGGGGCGAGTCCATCCATAGAACATTCGTTGTCCACGACTTATCAACCCCAGAAAAACATGCTGCTGCTGCAACATCACCTATTTGCGTAGTCACAGCTGTGTCATATTCTGGATTGTCACTGGGGGGATGGGGGCGAGTTACACCGGAAACAAACATTGGCCATGGTGCGATAGTGATTTTTAAAACCATTTCCTTGTCACATAAACACGGTTACACAAAAATACACGAGGTAAAGTTAAAGGAAAATTAAGCAAATTTGATTGCGGCCGTGCTTTTCCCACAGTCTGGTGTAAACCGGACAATCCTCGGATCTTTAACGCCCATTTTGCAGGAAGCTTTGGAGAATTAACCCCTTACTGACGTTACATTAAGCTGTGGTCGCAATAATTGGGCAACCCTGACCCAGGCCCCTAGACTAGGGAATCCTAGATCCCCGAATCGTAGGCCACTCCCGAGTCCCCGACTGCTCGGATTCTGCTTTGTTTCACAGACCCACAAAATAAGGACCCCTTGGGACCAGGCGTCTTCCTTGGCCTGGAGGACCTCGGTCCTCGGTAACCCCAGAATAGGGGGCCAAATCTTCAGGCCCAAAGATCCCAAACCCCAGGAATTCGGCCTAAGAAACCCAGCGACTGTGCCCCTCTTTGTAAGGCGTATCACACCCTTAGCACCACTTCCCTTCGCTCTCATCAACACCCCATCTTTCATTGATCCCTTTAACATTTTATGGGCGCCCCGTGTCTCTTTATTTGGGACTCTCTCGTCAAAACCCCCCTCTCTCTATCTTACCTCCCCCTTCAATATCACAAGGGATCACAGTCTCTTAAAAAGTCCCTTATTGTGGGCAACTCAACCCCTCACAGGAATCCCCTCTCGAAGAGACCCTTGCCTTCCTGGGAACCCACTCTCCCCACAACACCCCTCACTCTAATAGGCAGCCATCTGCTTCCTATGAAACCCATTTTTCAGAGAGACCCCGATCCTAGGCACCGAGTCCCTCTCTTTAGAACCCCCACCTTCTCTCGTGGAGACCCCCAACACCCTCACATCAGCACCAAATCCAATCCAGTCCTAGGCCCCCATAAATTTTCTTCCACGGTCGTCTCCGTCACCAGTCTCACTCTACTGCTGCACCGAGCTCGCCGCGTCCTCTCCCACGCTGGCTCCCCAGTAACCCCCTCCACCTCTCGCTAACCCCTTCCCCTGGGCGATCCCCGCACCTTTGAAGAGGTAGTCGTACTCGTCGTCCCTGGCTCCCATCTTGGCCGTCATGAGGCGGTGGTGCCGCAGTGTCCGTGACTGCTGCTTCGCGACTGCCCACCCCCGCTGGCGGGCGTGGCCACGGCGGAGGGGGCGGAGGCTAGCAAGGAAGAGGAGGGGCTCGTTGAACGAAGCGGGCGGGGCTTGCATAAAAGAGGGGCGTATTCGTCAACGAAGGGCGGAGATAGTGAAGGAGAGAGGGCGGGCCAGTGGTAAAGAGGGCGTGGTTAGTTGAAAGTAGGCGGGGTTAGGCGAGGAAACCAAAACACCACGTGACCCCGAGAGCGCTTAGCTCCGCCTCCAGGCCGCGCCCGACGTGACGTCACGGCCCCTCGCCGTCCACCGAGGGGTGGACGGCGAGAGGCGCTCGCCAATGGCGCGAGACGAGGATGGTGGCGCGCGCTGAGTGGCGGGAAAGGTGAGGGGGGGCAGGGCGGGGGCTGCTGTGAAGCCACGCCTTTCATAATGACGTCAGCCTCCCTCCCCCACGTACCCGCCCACCCCCCCGTGCATATAATTACCGTGCCTCCCCCGCCCCACCTGCCGATTGTGCGTCACGTTCACTTCCGGGCCACGCCCTGAGTGACGTCAGACTGCAGCTTTTACATTCGAGATCAGGCGTCGTGCGAGATAGGCTCGGTTGCCCGAAACGTCGCCTCGTATATATTTGTTCCCTTTTAAGGCCACGCGCACCACAGTGCTATTGACGAACCCGTTGAGGTTTGTTGTTGTTGTAAAGAGCGTTCGTTAGTTTCAAAGTACAAGCACGACTAGGCGATGTCTCCACTTAAATACAAATAAACGGCGATGCGATTGGTCCACCGGTCTCCTGGCTTTCCCGATCAAGATCATCCAGTTGTGTTACATATCGATCGTGGGGAGCCATGTGTCACGGTGGCATGCCGCCACATGGCTACTGCCTGTGGGAGCTGCATGGAGAGAGACCCTTTCAGTGGCCTGGGTGGTGAAATGGCATATTGTCATGGCAAGGGCAAGTCCATCCACTTGATTTATACCACTGAGTGGTACAAGTTTTGACGAACATGAGTTGGGATTTGAACCCCACGCTGATAACTAAACCGCAGGCTACGTTTCGACTGACATTTAAATTATTGTCGCTGCTCGGGTCAAATTATGACCTTAGCGAATTTATAACATGACACAATTTATAACATGACAATTTATAACGTGGCACAATTTATAACGTGACAATAACATGACAATTTATAACGACACAATTTATAACGTCACAAGTTGCACCGTATCAACGTTTTACTCACGACACAGAGACGCAGTTGTCACTTTGTATATTTTGCTTAAATCAATGTAAGAAGCCATCTCAAACTGCAAGTCAAGTCTCCTCCGCACTCCCATTTCAATAAAATAGTTCCTCGAAATGTTTACCCCTTGTACATATGCCGCGCTATAAGTCGTTTAATTGATGTGCTGAGTGTTGTTGACGCTTGGACGTCGCCGGTTTGTGCTGGGCCGGGTGACGGTGGCTGAGCACGTGGCCTGCGATCCAGCAACCCTGGCTCGCCAGCAGTGTAGCCAGGGGACTAATCGCCGCCTGTTTACATCTGTACGGGGATAGAGTGTTCCGCCCTCGCGCGTGGGTTTTCTCCGGGTGTTCCGTGTATAATAATACATGCTCATCATTAATTGGCTGAAAGTATCTTGAATTTTGATTTAAAGCTTTCGTCAGTAATTCATATTCTTAGCTCTTTCGGTAAAGTCACGTTGAAGAGAAACAATAAAATAATATATATTTTATTATGTATATTTAATTATTTTATTGTCTCCCTTCAACGTGACTTTACCGAAAGAGCTAAGAATATATCTTGAATTTGTTTTTTTAACGTAGCAGGACCCTCCTGAAAAATGAGTCCTAAGACTCAGTTGTGGCACTGCTGGATAGACAAAATAAGTAAACGATCAATCGTATCACCGTGTTACACGTGTGTGTGAGTAGGGGGGGGGGACCCCTCTCAATGCGTCAAGTGGTTCCGCCTGCCGTTGTTTCCACCCGGACGGAGTTAAGGCGCGACACAAGCGGAAGCACGTGCGCGCGGGGCCGTGTTTACACGTGCGTCGAGCTGCAACTCCGCTCACTGCGTTCCGACTGCACCGTATGTTGAACTTCTTTCGCGCCGTACCTAGCCAACCGTGCTAATCAGTGAACAACAACACAGCCATCAACAACACAACATTTAACGTAGCCATTAACACGCACATCGAACACCGCGGTATCTAAGTTGTCTCGTGGTTGTTTTCAGTTTCAGTTTTCAGTTTGGTGTTTGACTTGCATCCCACTGGGATTTTTGCACAGAGCGCTGGTGTACGGTGCTTTTTCTGGAAGATTTTTGCTGTATTTTCCTGGATTTTTCTGTTTGCTCATAGTCACTTGAAGATGTTTTTCTTGTTCATGTTTTCGTTTTTTTGTGTGTGTGTGTTGCGGTTGCACCCGATTCAAGAGCCGAACGGCTCACAGGGCTATACCAATTAAATGAAACTGAAACAGTATTGTCGCATCGCACATCCACATGAACGCGGCGCAGTCGTTGACACGGTCACCGACTTCGTGCTTTGACGCGGCGGGCCTCGACAGAACTCACGCGGCATTGCAGAGCGAGCCGCGGTCCTGCAGGGGAATCTTTCGGGCTCGCTATTGACATGCGGCGGCTGCAGAGCGGACTCAGGGTCGTGACCCGAACGATCCGAGGCCGCTGGCACCTGCACCTGATACCGTTACAACTCTTTAGACCTTGGGATAGGAGAATATGAAACTTCAGATCTTGAATGTTGAGAACTCTGTATCAAAGCCCCATGAACATGACGATCTATGGGGCCGTCCATAAATGACGTCACGCGATTTTGGACGATTTTTGACCCCCCCCCCCCCGTCGTCACGGCGTCACAAAAAGTCAGACCTCCCCTCAAATATGACGTCACAAAGCTCTGCCCCCCCCCCCCAAAAAAAATAAAACATAAAACATGCTTCAAATCGCTTTATTAAAAAAAAGTAATTAAGTAGAACGTGTTGTCTATATTTAAAGTTGCGCATTTTGATGTGACGTCACATTTCTCAACCCCCCCCCCCTCCCCCTCGTCACACATCGTCACAAATGTCTGACCCCCCCCCACCCCCCCAGGTGCGTGACGTCATTTATGGACGGCCCCTATGTATGACCTGGGACCGTGGCACCTGTGACCTCTGCTGCCTTGACACACTGGGGTCTGAGACCTTAGAACCTGAAGCCTCGGTGGGACCTGCGAACCTCAGACTTGGACACGAGGAGAGGCCATGCGGATCCTCACAGCCGCTCGGTCCGCGGGGCCCCGGGCCGCGTGGCTACTTCCCGCCGTATCGCGCCGGCGGCTGGGGGCTCCCGGGCTCCTTGCCGCTCCGTGCCGGCGCTGGGCGCGCTCAGGGGCCGAGGCCGCGATCGAGGCGGAGGAGAGGAGCGAGCGGGACGAGACGCGGATGAACCCCCTCAACATCCAGATGCTGAGCAGGAACCTCCACGAGCAGATCTTCAAAGGCGTAGAGGTGCGTCCGTGCGATGCTGCTGGACTGGCGGCTGATGTAAAACTCAAGACGGTGAGGTGAACATCCAGACACCAGAACAACGAAGAACACAAATATAAACGGGTCGGTGACGGGGCCATTACTAATGGCTGATTGTCTTTGGTTAGGGTTAAGGTAGAGGCTAGTACTCGTGATTGGCTAGTTATAGGAACAGCTAGTACTAGTGGTTGATTGATTTTGGTCAGTACGAGATTATTTAAACTCTATGTACTCGGGAAATCTCAATACTTCTACAAAGTTAGGTATTATCCCCGCATATGCGTGGTGTTTTCTCCAGGCACTTGTTTCCCCACGTTTGAAAAACAAATGAACGAGGATTTGGGGAAATATATTGCCAGCTGAACCTTTTATAAACATAATCATGTGGAACTGAGACTGTTTAGGTAACTATTGGCGTATTCTTAATGCACAAATACAACTTGGCAGGTTCATAATCGCAAGTGTCATACAACATATACATAGGCCGACATTTCAGGATAGATAATGGAAGAAAAACTTAAAAGTGCACAAATAAGCATGGAGATGTGCATGCTTGGAACTGCACTGAGACATGAATTAGAGGTCACACCCAAGCCAGAGACGTCTACAGTAATTGACCGCGTGCGGTTTTCCTGTCCATCGACAGTCCAGCCACCCCGAAGAGAGCGTGCAGCTCAGCAAGGAGCACCTATCCCAGCACGGTCTGTGGGGCCGTGACGGCGCCCTGCTGAAGGACGTCCACCTCCGCCTGCCTCCTCTGCTGGGCGACTCGGTGGACGGTCACTTCCGCGCCCTGGCCACGCGGCAGAGCCTGGGCTACGTGCGCGCGGCGTGCGGCCTCGTGGCGTGCTCGGCTCTGCCGGCTCTGCCGCGCGAGTGGCGCTACGAGGCCGGGTGGACGCGGTACGGCCCCGACGGGCACGTCGAGGCCATGCCTTTTCCCGACGAGCCGGGCCTCGTGTTCGACGTGGAGGTGTGCGTGACCGAGGGCCACTGCCCCACGCTGGCCGTCGCCTGTTCCCCCGCCGCCTGGTTAGTGGTGTGCCCAGTGTGGAGGAGAGCGGGCGAGAGCGGAGCGACGTGTTGATTAGGGGAAGACGCAGCCGCATCTGTGCAACCATCACACCTGCATCACCACAGCTGGGAAACCAAACCTGTACAAGCACACCTCTGCCGCAACCACGCTTGTGCAACCGCACCTGTGACGCCACACCTGTACATCCGCACACAGGTACTCCTGGTGCAGCCGAAGGCTGGTGGAGCGCCGCTTCTCATGGCCCCAGCAGCTCTCCCTGCAGGACCTCATCCCGATGGAGTCGGGTAGCGGAAGCCGCTCCTCTGCTTCCTGCTCGTCCACGTCGTCGTCGTCCTCATCGCAAGGGGACTCAACCGAGCGACTCGTGGTGGGACACAACGTCAGCTTCGATCGCGCGCACGTGCGGGAGCAGTACCAGCTCGCGGTACGTGCCGCGGCGCCGTCGTGGAAGCCTCTGTAGAACCGCTTTTGCTGCGTGTACGTGCATGTGCTTAAATGCACATTTGTGGCAAAT